GTGACGCGGCCGCAGCACGCCCCCAGTTGCGTGGAGTGCGAGGGCCCGCCCAACGCTGCTTGCAGCTTTAATTTATAATAGTATTTGTGAAACACAGCTTTAATTGTTTGTTATGTGTCTTTTTTTTGGCAAATAAATTACACTCAACTGTAACACAGCGTTTAGGTGTGAGGACAGTTAATTTCTATTGATAAATCATATTTAAAAATCACTTAAATAAGAAATTATACATAAAGTAAATTCGTCCTCAAAGAAGGAGCATTATTAAGGCAGATTTTGGTGACAGTACATCATGAAAAATAGTAAAATATCATATCAAACTACATTTCTCTCCATAACTACTGTAATATCCCATGGTTTATACTTACAGTCCTGCTTCAACAAGAAATCTATCACAAATATTGGTAACATTTCATGAGACATTTAATCCAGGAAGCTAAATAAGATCTGACCTCTTGTTGTGTTGAACCTCCTGTCCTCAGATCCACAACCCCGATGAATTCGACATGATGCTGAAGCTTCAGGCTCCTTCACGCATCAACATGACCAAGATCGACGGCGGCCTCTTCTACCGGCTCGATTTCGTCCGCCCCGCTCGGAGCCCCATACAAGCCTTCCTTCTGGAGAATCAGTGCACAATCTCGTCAAGCAAGATCCTGACTGAGATGTTTCGCCTGGTCCGCAAGTTCCTGAAGACCTACCGAGGTCTGATCGTCATCTCTTTCATCTCTCATTTGTTTGTTTTTAGTTTGTGCCAATCGTCTGGTTTCCTCTTTTTTATCCTCTCTGTTTCCTTGTTGATGTCTGTGCAGCACAGTTGGAGATATGAGGACTCATCTATTTGTTTGTGGACCACAAAGTGAAGCTCTATTAATGATCTGTCTTCTCTTTTCCTTGTTTTCCAGTTCCGGTTGAAGACTTTCGCTGGGAGGTGAACAGGAAGCGGCCCTACTCGCCGGCTGTGACTTTATCTCTGTTCAAGACTGACAACAACATTGACGAGCTGATCTCAGTGGATGTGGTTCCTGCTCTGGAGGTAAACATTTATCTGTATGAAATAGATAAATCCATCCTCCATGGTCTTGGTTTACAGCTCATTATGAAGGATTTAGGAGATTAGGAGGAAAACAAACATTTCTAAACATGAGTAGTTGATAAAGCACTGTATCTGTATTTATGTGTACGTGTTTCAGTCAGCACCACTTTTATCAAAGACAACTTTATTTCCAGTTGCAGTCGTTATATTTTTTCTGATCTGGGACCTCCCTGTCCTTCCACATGTATACATGGAGAGGGAAGGAGAGCTGCAGCAAAGACAGAACAGGGTAATAGAGCCGTCAGTGTGAGCCGTTTACGATCAGCTGATGTAGTTGTGATTGTGAGCTTGACTTTGTGGCCTGCCTTAACTACCGCTTTGTTCAATTTATGTCTGTTTGTCTTTGTTTATGTTTACTTAAACTATGACAATGTCAAACGCACAGTAGTAGAGCGTGTCCTTACCACCGTGGCTCTGCCCTTTACTGCATGTCATCCCCCCTCTCCTTTCTATCTTCTCCTGCCCTAAAGGCATAGAAAGCCCCCAGTGTGTAGGATTTAGTGGCATGTAGCAGTGTAGTTTCAGATTCCCTCCCTTTCTAAGCACAAGGGAGAAATTAAAGTGGTCGTGAAATTCTCAAAAAACATAGAAGGTCGTATCTACAGCCCGTGTTTGATTTGCTCTTTCTGGGCTACTGTAGAAACATAGCAGTTGGAAAGCATCTGTAGCTAAAAACATCTCATTCTAAGGGAACAAAAACACAACTTATTCATATATTCAGGTGATTATACACTAATGAAAACATACCTATGGATATTATATTTTATTTCTGCCAAGAGATCCTCCTAAATGTTACACACTGGACCTTGAAAAAGGTTAATGAAGATGGATTAATTTATTCTGCACATTAACAATTATGTTTCATTATCAGTCATTGCAGATTGTACTACTAATGCAATAGACTAGTAATAGTAATATTAGTTAGTAGTAATGGTAACAATGCTGTGCTAGCAGGTGAAGTTAAAAGTAGTCTAAAGTTGAATAACAATGTAGTTAATGTGTCGGATTAAATTTAATTGATAGTGAAAGCTGAAGAGTGACAGGAAATGGGGGACATGGGGCACCAGCTCTACCAGGTGAGCTACCAGGGCGTCCATACATGTCATTTTAATACTCTTTAAATCTTTAAATATGTCCATACTTCTTCCACCTCTGGTTGTCGCATTAGAAGCCATAATCGTAAAGGTAGTGAGTGGTAGAATGAGTTCTAGTGCGGGTACAGTGTACTAATGTAATGGCAGAGGTTGGTGGTAGTAGAGGTGGTAATAATGACCTCATGTGACTTAAACTTTGTGTGTGTGTGTGTGTGTGTCTGCATGGAGGTTCACCCCTCTCAGGGCTGGCCGGTCGCCGTCCGTAATGGCCCAGATGTGGAGAACTGGCTCGGAAAGAAGGTTCGCCAAGAAATCAAAAGTTTACCTTGTTACTTTGTACCGAAGAGGATCAAAGGACGAAACCTCAGCGAGGAAGACAAAGGTGAGACAGATTTCTGTGTGCTGTTGTGTGAAAGGACGAGGAAGCAACATCAGTCTGCTTGTCGAGTCTTTGCCTTCACTTTTGTTGTTTGCCATATTTTTGTCTGTCTGTAACAGAAAGTTGGAGGATTTCTTTCTCTCACATTGAGAAGAAAATCATCACGTGCCATGGCAACAAGAAAACCTGCTGCGAGAGCAACGCCACCAAATGCTGCCGGTGAGACTCTGAACTGATGGAAGGAGTCACTTTATTCCCACATCCTCCCAGTTTTGATGGTTCTTTGTTAATCTAATAAACTATTGTGTGAGCAGGGTCACTTAAATAGGTTAAATCAGTTAAATGTTTGTCCTTTAATTTCTCTGACTCACATGAAGCTGATCCAAAACGGTAAATATCAATGTAATAAATAAAAATACGACCGATCACAGTATTTATGGAGCATTTTCTGTACCTCTTTCTCTCATAAAGACACTCTTTATAAAGGGTTTCTACGCCATTATTAATGGCTTTATTAAGAAATAATTTACTAATTAGCCTCATAGACGGTGCTTTAGTTGCCTGGTTGGATTTATATATAAATATAATTAATATAATTTAAAAGATAAAATAAATATATGAAATGAAATGTGTTCTTATTAATGGTTTATAACTGTTATATAAAGTGATTTATTTAACCATTAATAAAACTATTTATTTAGAACTTATTCACCCTTTTTCAAGGTTACAAAGTTTATAGAGGCAAAAGCAACTTAAAAAAGTAAATACATTTGAAAAGACACCAAAATATTCTCCAATTGAAGAAGATTTTCAAGTTTTTAAGTGTCAGGATTTAAAAAAAATTAAGAATTTTATAATAATTTGTTTTTCTTTCTTCTGTCTTACAACAAATGTTTATCCTCTCTCTGCAGTAAGCAGTGCTTAATGCTCCTCAAGTCTCTGATTCAGGGCCTGAAACAGCGTTTTCCCAAAGAGCTGGATGACCTCTGCTCGTACCACGGGAAAACTGCCTTCCTCCACATTCTGTCCATCAGGTACTCTTCATCATCTCTAATATTATCAAATAGAAGTTCTGTAAGTAGCTGTAGTTACAGCAGTAATAAGATAAGATGTTCCTTTACCTGAATTCATCCCACAGGGGATCAATAAAGGAACATCTTATCTTATCTTATTTAGTACTGGTAGTGTGCTGTTTTGGTAATATTGTAGTAATAACATTGTAAATTGAATATTGTTAGATTTTGGACTGTTTGTTGGACAAACCAATTGAAAGAATCAGAATCAGAAATACTTTATTGATCCCCGGGGGAAATTTTGTTGTTCTACTCATGTTAAAGAATATAAATAATACTTATATTACAATATCAAACACAATATATAGAATACAAATGTATGCAAAGGTACATACATATAAGTATTAGATATAAGAGCCTATATACAAAGTTAGAGTAAATCTATGTATGTTATCTAAGTTACAATCTATAATTTTATAATAATGTTTGTGACAATGTGGTTCACGTAGCTCACCTGGTGCAGGTGGAGTTTATCAGGTACAACTTGTTTCTGCTGCCTCCAAGTGGCCAAAATAATTATTGCAGGTTTAAAAACATCTGATTCAAAAATTGGAATCAATATTTGTTTACTATTTTATGACATATTAAAAGCGACAGATTTATAAATAAACAGTAAAACATATTAATTTTATTTATTTAACACATATAGTAACAGTAGGATTAACTACAGTGCTGGAACAACCAATCAATTAATTGATTAGCCAATCAACAAAATTAATTTTGATAATCTGTTCATTAATGTATTATTTATTTAAATACCAAAACATTCTCAGGTCCAAGCTCCTTAAATAGGTACATTTTATATATTTAAAGACAGATTGGGCTCTTTGTTGTTATTTTTTGACATTTAAAAGACTTACAATTAATCAATAAATTCAAAATAATAGAAATAATCACTAGTTGCAGCCCTATTTATCTATTATAGAAGAAAGGCTTGTGTTTGAATTAATATTAATAGGACTGGTTGTAAAACAAAACTAGAAATCTGTATAATTAATTTAGTTTAATTCCTCATATCGTCTTTTTCTTCTGTCAGGTTCAACGACTCCATGTGGACTCCTCAGCAGCTTCCTTTCTGCTTCCTGCATCTCGTCAGGGCTCTGGAGGACCACGCGTGCAAAGCCAGCCTCCCTCACTTCTTCGTTCCAACGTGCAACCTCTTCTCCCCGACCGTCTTCCCCCGCAGAGCGCTGGCTTTCCTCGTCAGTGCCTTGGAGGAGCAGAGGAGGGAGGGCCTGCCCCTGCTGAAGCCTCCAGCTCCTGTCCCACCACCGAGATCAATCCCTCCACCAGCAGCAGCAGACTCCTCCACCAAGACACCCGCCAATGAGTCGTCCATAGTGACTCTAGTTCACTCTCTGGACCCTGGATTTATGAATAAACTGATCATAGTGTTCTTTGTAGCTGTGGTTTTGTTCTGTTTCGTGTGTAAGTGATGGTAAAAGAGGACGAATATGTGAAATATGCCTAATAATAAAGTGCTTTATTGCTGATTGGCTGATGAAGAGAAACAGAATCAGTGTGTATAATACTTTTCATAGAGAGATATTCTCATTTTAATTTATCAGTGACATAAATAATCTAACTTTAGTTAGTTAATATCATATTTTACATGGTGATAAAGAGAGTTTTAATAATGTAATGTAAAAATAATGTAAACTTTTGTGACACATTTAGTTTCCCAATTCTTTAATTTCTTATTTTATCGGAAACAGTTTGATATCACCTCTGTGCAATACTTGTTTTGTATATTTGGTTAAATCAAAGTCACCTTTTTATTTTAATGTAAAATGTTTTGTTATTGTGTTGTGTCATCTCTTGTAATTTATTTCCTGAATAAACAAAGGTCTTAAATTAAACTTGTATTGTCGTTAAGAATAAACAGTGTTTAATAAACACATCAATTTGACAAATAATATACAACTAGTAATTGTTTTTGATGAATTAATATGATTATTATTTAAAATGCCCATCACAATTGTTTGTTTTGTCTGACCAAAAGTTAAACAAGATTATCATCATCAATTAATAGTAATAATAGTTAATAATAGTAATTTATTTTATTTAGTTAAGTCATTTCTTTTTTATTTTATTTTATTTTATTTTATTTCAGTTTGCTACTGTTAATTTTATATATTATATATTATATATAAGGATATAATATTTTTATATTTTATCTTTTATTTTTTTTTTTTTATTTATTCTATCTTAGTTAGGTTTTTTTAGTTTAATGCATTTTGTATTTTTGTATGCTAACGGATGCTTGAATTTCCCTCGGATAATAAAAATATCTGATTCTGTCGTGATTACTATCTATCTGCATCTATCGTTCTACTGTTTATCTAACTGTCTATCTGGTATATCTATTTCTATCTATCTGTCTGTCTTTTCTATCCTCTCTATCTATTCTATTATCTGTCTATCTATCTGCCTATTCTATCTGTCTTCTGTTTTATCTTCCATTCTATCTAATCTGTTGGTACTATCTATCTTCTTCTATTGTCATATCATCTATCTTTTATCTATCCTATCTATCTGTCTGTCTGTCTATGACGTATATTCTGTTATTGTATATTAATACATATGTATATTGTCTTACTATTTCTACTCATATATTATTTTTTGTGTGTTGAATGTTGGTATATTATATATGTTGTCTTGTATATCTGGGTGTGTACGAAAACTAATTCCCTCTGGGTTTTAAAGTATCTCTGTTCTATATTCATGTTT